CCCATTTTCACTAACAGATGTTTGTAATTAATCATCAATATCACTATTAGTAACACCTTTAGCCACTATCCTTGGAGATAACCTCTATAATCTAATTCATTATGTTCTAAACTAGTATTTATCAATCATAATACTGGTAGTTCATTATAATATCTGAATTATATTAATGAAATTATTTTAATTGAGATAACTCTTTATTTTTTTTATTTTTTTATTTTTAAGTTTTCTAAATATTAAATTTTATATATTTTGTGCCTTTTATAGCTACATTAAATTTACAATATTGCAACTAGATTTGTGACCAATTCTAACTTCCCTCCCTCTTTCTCAAGCGCGTTTTCCACCCCTACCCACATGCCCTACCACAACCCCCTTTTTCCTTCACCCTACCCTCACCAAATGCCTATATTTAGTTTCATTTATTATCTATTTAATTTCAAATTATTTTTTATCCGATGACCATATTAGGAAAATAGAGGTATTATATTTGACTTATGTTAAGAAAGGTAGATGCAGACCTAAAAATACTTGGTTAGAAAATATTAGAAATAATCTTTCTCTATTAGATTTAAACGATAATTTGACTTTTAATAGGACACAACGGAGAAAAAAGATTCATGTAGCCGATCCCATGCAGTGGGATAAAGGCTTGTTATTGTTGTTCTTATTGTTGTTGTTGTTGTTGTATGATAAATTTAAAGAAAAATTATTTTGACTAATAAATATCTTATCTAAAAATATTTAGAATTTAGATTAAAATTTTATATCTTAAAAAAAGAGCAAGAAGGATAAAACGTTGTTTGCAATGTTTTATTATACATTTATAAGTGAATTTTGAATAGTTTTTACCTATGGGATTGTTGGTGAACTTTGTTGGATTAATGTATTAATTTTTTTCTTTAGCCCTAACACATTTTAGTTTGCACAAATGACATATGAAAATGATTGTATAGATGATTATTAAAAATATATATATTGAACACTTATTCATGTACACATGTGTTGTTGCAATAAGTGTAAAAAATATATATATTTTTTTAAAACTAAATTGAATGAAGAAGAAAGTGAAATATATTTTCATATACATATTCATATTTCTGTAGAAAAATATATGGTGTTATAATGATCGTAATATTTTGTGGAGGTACTACTCGATATGAGTTTAACTTTGATGTATGGATGGAAGCAATGAGAAGAGTGACTAAGGGCCACATGTATAACATCATATATCATTTTAGGATAGAAGCTAATACCCATCTAGCTCACAAAATTCTAGAGGGAGCCATCATTATGAGAAATCAATTACAAGGCAAGAGCTCGAGGATATCATGAATCTAACTAGGTTGAAGGAGCATCAATAACAAGGTGGATTGGGTGGTACTCAAGCTAATGGTGGTGGTGGTGGTGGTGGTGATGATGATGACAATGAGGGATTTTTTCTTTAATGATCATAAGTGCTTTTTTAATATTCTATTTTAACGAAATAAATGTTGAAATTGTTGTTGGTGGAACTATTGTATATAATGTATATTGATTAGTAGTATATAACTATTGTTAAAATTGTTGTAGTAGTTTACCCATTTTGACCCAGTTGTGCTATTTGAGTTTTAATTATGTGAAGTTATTCTAACATTTTCTGGAATATGATGTATGATGTGTTATTTGGTTTATATGTATTTTATAGCCGTAGACAATAACAAAAAAAAAAAAGAAGAAGAAGGAAATTTCTATCTATTTTGTAGGTTATTGCAATCGACACCAATCACAAAAGAACAATTTGGAGGTCCTATTCCCATCAGCTGCTGGAGCTGTTTGTGAGATGTTTGCGATGTCTTTTTTTTTTTTTCTTTTTTTTTTGAAAACTAGATGTTAAAATCTATATTTACAACCAGCTGAACTTATCTCAAAATATTTGCTATGAGCAAATTATCAGTCATTGTTGTTAAACACTTAGTAATTGCAAAATCAGCCATTGCATTTCGCAAAGTGGATGTGTATTCCAGTAGTATATTATATTTATTATCATTACTTGATGAATGCTATATTGATTCTTATTGTTAGTTGTGTTTTCAACATGTTGTTTGAAGCAAGAAGGCAATAATCACCACAAGGAAACTTTTATGATATTTTGTTACCATCATCACTCACAAAATCATCATCATATTGTCAGAATAGATAAATAAATTCAAATTATGTATTCTTGCCATCCTGTAATAACAGTACACGTGTATCACTTTGCCCTTTGTAAGCTATATATAGGGACCTATTGTAATATGGCAGAATAGGCTTTCATTAATAAAATCCAAGTTTCTTTCCCATTCTTCTGGGTTTCTTCTCCATCGGTTTTCCTCATCTTTTCATGAATTTCATCATGGTATCAGAATAAGGAACAATCCCCTTTCCATAGATCAATGGCGAATCCGGCATCCATTGCCTCACACACCGAAGCTTATTCTGGCATTCTCCATTCTCTTCAGGTTATCTCACCGTCTCTGAAATTTGTTATATCCAACCTCAAATTTCTTGTTCCAAATCAATTGACTCCGGACAACTACCCCATTTGGAGCAATCAAATCGTTAAAGTCCTCAAGGAAAATGGATTCGCCATCTTTCTTGATCCTCAAATGGCTTCCGCGTCGTCCACAAATGCATCGGCAAACAAAAATACATATCCAAATCAAGATTCCTCCAGCTGGCTAGTCATCGATCAAAATCTGGCTGCCGCATTGTGCTCCACCATCTCCCCTTCGGTTCTCCCATACGTTCTCCATCTTGAATCTACGAATGAGATCTGGCGTGCATTGGAGACAAGGTTTCAATCTTCAAACAGGTCCAAAGTTATCCCGCTCAAGAACGAGCTTCACAACGTTTCCATGAAGAATCTTTCAATGTCTCAGTACTTAACTGAGATCAAGAAGATTGTAGACAACATTGCCTCGGTAGGATCATCCATCGATCCCGAGGACATTATGATATATATTCTGAACGGATTACCTCCTTCCTACTTGCCGTTCACTACGTCCATCCACACGATGCAATCCTCTCTCAGTCTTGATAGTCTTTACGCTCTACTTATAAGTGAAAAAATTCACCTCCAGACTGTGGCATTAAAGTTTCCCGCAACGATCGACAACCAAGTAGCTCTCTATGCATCCAAAGATTGTGGTCGTAGAGGCAGAACGTGTCTGGGAACTCAAACCAGCTGATCTGCCCAGTATTCCAGCACCACATGTCAAATTCGCAAAAAGAAAGGCGACTCTGCCAATGCGTGTTGGCATCGTCTCAACCCGAACTACGTTCCATCCCAAAACTCTTCCAAGAACAATCAGGCACTTCTTGCCAACGCCGATCACAATACCTCAGGCGACTGGTATATCGACTCCGAAGCTTCCACCCATATGACGAATTCGTCTGACAACCTCATTTCCTCAAATGTGTACAACGGTATAGACACGGTGACTATAGGGGATGGAAGATCAGTACCCATTGCTCACTCGGGCACGAGACTACTTCCTATCCCCTCCCGTAAGCTTTTTCTATCTCAACTCCTCCACACTCCATCTATCTCTCACAATTTACTTTCTGTGTCTAATCTTGTTAAAGATAACAACATCTCCATAATTTTTGACTCAAACGGGTTTATTTTTAAGGATTCGACGACCAACAAAATCTTGCTCAGCGGCCCATGTAAAGGCGGATTATATCAGCTAGCCATCAAGCCACCACACGGACAACCTACAGGTTTCACGGCGGCAAGAAACTAGTCTCCCAACTAGCACCATAGGCTTGGTCACCCCAATCACCGGGTACTCATGCACATCACCAAGACGAACCATGCTATCAACATTTCTAATACCTCTTCTTTTTGTAATTCATGCAAACTTTGTAAATGACACAAATTATATTTTAAAATTTTTGAAAACCGTAAACAGGCTCCTTTAGAGCTCATACATTCCGATGTTTGGGGATTGTCTCCGGTCCCCTCCCAGCAAGGTTTTAGATACTAGTTAATATTTGTTGACGACTATTCGCGTTTCACCTGGTTATTTCCATTAATGTTCAAATCTGAAGTTACACAAATATTCATCAATTTTACTAAGTTCATTGAGCGTCAGACAAACCGCAAGATCAAAGCCATTCGCACGGACGGCGGAGGAGAATACGTTAATCAGCAATTTCAAACGTTTATCAAAACCACGGGCATTCTCCATCAAACTTCATGCCCCTACACGCCGGAGCAAAATGGAATAGTTGAACGCAAGCATCATCACATCGTGGAAACAACTCGAACGCTTCTACAAACAGCCCACTTACCTCACTCGCTCTGGTTAGATGCGGCGATCACCGCCACGTATATCATAAACAGAACTCCGTCCGCAACGATCAACAACATATCACCCCTTCAACTGATGTTCAACGTCAAGCCCTCTTACCATCATCTCCAGACTTTCGGATGCGAGTGTTTTCCTCTACAACCTCCTTATAATCGCACTTAACTAACTCCAACTTCTACTTCTTGTATTTTCTTAGGCTATTCGGAAAATAAAAAAGGTTACAAATGTTGGGATCCAATAACCAATTGCATAGCAATCTCGCGACATGTTCAATTCAATGAATCTTCCTTCCCTTTCAAAAACACAGCGTCTAAAGAACCTCCTCCATAATCGATAAGGAACCCGTCTCTACTCATATCGGTCTCCACAATTCGCATTCCAGATGCCAAGACTAATTCTGAACCTCTTGCCAATCACGATACCTATTCTCCAGTTACAACCAATAATCAAGATCATACTAATATAGTATCCGTTGCTCCCATCTTGCAGGATTCCTCTAAATTAGTCCCAACTACGCATCCCATGGTTACAAGACGTCAAACCAGCTCCCTCAAACCAGCTCGGAGGTTCAATTTACTTCATCACATGCAAGATTCCACACAACAGTCAAACACTAATCCAATCACGTATACCAAAGCTTCCAAATCGGTTCACTAGAGAAAAGCAATGGCCGAAGAATTCATCGCCCTTCAAAAACAGGGAACATGGACTCTAGTACCCGTTCCCATCAATGCACCAATTCTTGGATCAAAGTGGACATACCGCACAAAATGCAACTCGGACGGGTCCGTGGCTCGCTTCAAAGCAAGATTGGTAGCTCAAGGGAACCAACAAGAATACGCGTTGGATTACAACGACACCTTCTGCCCAGTTGCAAAATTACCAACCATTCGCATTCTATTCGCTGTCGCTCTCTTCTACCAATGGCCGGTTCAACAGCTCGACGTCTCAAATGCGCTTCACGGCAATCTCACCGAAACGGTATACATGCGACAACCTAAGGGCTTCGAGGAC